TGAAGAGTAGTGGAACAGGTGGGGACAGGTGAGAAGATGGTGAGCAATCAAATGAAAGATCTAGAGAGATAGTGGAGAAAGAGAGAGGGAGAGTGCTACGCCTGTGGGGCTTATACGTAAGGGTTGAGTGCCTCCGCTGAGCCTCAAATATAACCCTCGTTATATGAAGGCATATGGGTGGGAGAGTGGTAAAGAGCGCCAACAAGGCAGCTGAAGGACAAGAATAAAATTCACGAGGAAACCATGAACGACTGAACTTACGGCGAGAGTGCCTACAACGAGGGGACTTACAACGAGGGATCTGAGGACGAGGGAAACTCCATATTCAAGAGCACACCGCATTGCTTACTTCATAGCGACCTTGCCACCAGACGTGGAGATCGAGCCCGATCCGACGGTCCACGCCGCATCGTCCGCCGATGACTGCCCGACGAGATCTTTTGTCACCGGGCTGCCCGAGGAGTCAGTGGCGATGGCGTTGCTGCCCGACATGCCGCCATTAGGCGAAAAGCCCACGGCGAACCACCCAGCAGCCTTGGCCCCCGATGCCACCACGGCCATCTTGATTGTCCGCCCCTTGGTGGCCTTCCAGTGCAGCACCAGCCTGCCAGGGGGTGCGGGGAGGGGGGATGTGCGGGGGAGGGGGGATGTGCGGGTAGGAAGGGGGCAGAAGCGGGTGGAGAGATGGGGAAGAGGATGGAGGGCGGAGAGCGTTCTAAGAAAATGGGAAGCCCACGGCGAACCACCCCGCCGCCTTGGCTACCGATGCCACCACGGCCATCTTGATTGTCCGCCCCTTGGTGGCCTTCCAGTGCAGCACCAGCCTGAGAGGGGGATGAGGAAGCGGGTGGAGCGAGGGGGATGAGGAAGGAGGCCGGAGGATGGGGCAGCGAGAAGCCAACGGCGAACCACCCTGCGGCATGCTATCACGGCCATTGCACTGTCCGTCCCTTGGTGGCCTTCAAGTGCAGCACCAGCCTGCCGGGGGGAGTGACATGCGCGGGGATGGAGGAATGCGGGGGGGGGAAGGGGGAATTCGCGGGGAGGGGGAATTCGCGGGGATGAGGGAATGCGCGAGGATGTGGGCGGCGAAAGCGGGTGGAATGCGGAAGTCGCACGCCGGAGCTCAGCGATCCAGCTCGCGCGACACGACGGCCGCTATTCCAGCGGGCCGCTGTTCCGAAGCAGTGTATCCCTTGAGGTTCGACTTTTAAGTCGACTCAAAACCCACGCTGTCCGTTACTGAGGCCGCAATCTGCCATCTGCTCTTACCCGGATGTGAGACCGGCCTTGGACGTGTATCCCTTGAGGTTCGACCTGCCGCAGCTGAAGCGGCCGAACAGCAGCTGGCGGCGAATGTTCGTCGCGAATGACGGCGCACGAGGGCTCTGCGACGACGGTTCGACGCGCGTGGCGACGGCCTGCGACGCGAGGAGCAGCACGCAGCTGAGAGCGAGCAGGGAAAGCGCGAGAAGGCGGGCCATGGATACGGCGATCGGAGGCGATCAGAGGCGACCAGAGGCGACTGGAGGCGACGAGAGGCGACGCGAGCGCGGCGAATAGGCGACGCGATTCGACAAGTAGAGCCAATCTTCACGAAAATATGACAAATTGCTCGAAGCGGCAAGGGGCGGGTGAGGAGTTGGATACGGCTCAACGTGGTTTCTCGGACCGAAAGGCTCAGTGATAGTGGTGGCGGGAGGGAAGCGTGGACCGTGGTGGGCGGCGTAGCGTGGCGTTCGTGCTATCTGGTCGGGTGCGAGGCAGTTGGGAGGCGTTAGTGACGAGTATGCTTGAGCGATGCTGTGATCGTGTTCTACATTTTCTACGTACTTATAAACGACGGGTCAACGAGAGCCGTAAACCAGAGACAGAGAGGAGGGGGAGGAATCAGGCGAGGCACGAGCGTGGGAGGTGGAGGATGAGGAAGGCGTGTGTGGGGGAGGGAGATGGGGAGAAGGGGGGAAGCGGGTGTCGCGAAACAGCTGCCAGCTCATCGCAGCTTGGTTGAGCAGCTTTGACGAGCTTGTGGCGAACTAGCCAGCGGCCTTCGTTGGGTTATGACGAGTCGCGACGACATGCAAAACGATGTCGCCATCTGGGTGGATCAACCAATCGACTCGTAGAAGTCGCCACGTCAGGCTACGGGAACCTCCTTCCTGCGTGTGCTGCAGTAAACACGGCACGGTCGCAGAGGTAACAAGCACGTGTCATTGGTGCCCAAACAGGTTTACTGGGTGGAGAAGATGCGCGCTTCTAGTGCGTCTAGCTAAGTGTCTGTGAGCATTCTTTAGGGGAGTTTGTTGGGTAAAGTACACCTATTCTCTATAATTTCACACCCCCTACCCTTTTTTCGTAGGTACCCTTTACGTATTTCGGTCTGATGCGACGGATACCCAGAGATTGAGGGACTATTGAAAAAAACCGGAAGGAACTCTAGTGAAGGGTTTTGTTGGGTTTGGAGTGCCTTTGACATTCTGATTTCCCCGCAATTCGCGAGAGTGGGTGGGAAACTCGTCCAGATGTATGAAAACGTCGTCAACTACCCTCCGAAAACAAGTGACTAAGGGTGTTTACCCCAGGGTATGAGATTAAGGGGTATGAAATTATCGAGAATAGGGTGATACTGTAATCACCGACCTATCCTACCCTACGTAAAGAAACACACGTATCGCGGTCGACACGAATCAATGATAGGTCTTATGTGTCCATCAACGAATGGACTGTGGTTGTATGAAAGCGTGAGACGCGGCTTGGTTCCGTCAGAATGTCAACACTGCTTTCCTGGTCGGTGGCCAAGCTGGGGAAAAGAAACTCACTAAAAGACCATGGTTATGTGAATCGCCGTCTTAGAAGCAGCAGTGTTCTTGCAGTTTCAAACATAGAAATCACTATGATCCGAGTATTCAGATGTAATCCAGACACGCAAAAACAGCTCATGATATATATATATATATATGATATAATTACAGTACTGTGTACATCTCCTAATTCCCCCCGCGTGTGCTTTGCGCAACCAGGGGTTTTGTGATATACAAATATTTACAGTTCTAGGCTACTAGCATGCACCGCCTCGCTTCCCAGCCATTCTCTCCTTCCACTGCCACAAGGCGTCCCTCCAGTGCCTCTGCTTTTGCCTCTTAGCCACTCTCCCCACCTGATGCGTGCTTCTGGCAACATCAGAGCTCTCGCAGCTCACACATCTCTTGTCGCTGCATTGACTGCCACAATGGCAGGAATCCTCACACGGTGGGTCTACATCCATTCCTGTATCACCCATTGTGGTAACACCCGTGTCAACAGGAACTTCAAGGGGAGCCTCAGCCTCCTGTGGTTGAGTACTTGTGAGAATGTCGACCCTGTCTAGCAACTTCGTCAGCTTCCTGGCCATGTCCCGACGCAAGTTCCGAACGTCCTGGTTCGGGGACTGCACCTCGTCCAACCGAAGCAGCCAGCTCATGATCGTCTCGCTCACCCGAAGCTTTTCCAAAGGGTCAGAAACCATCTTAGCCACGAATTCGTTATCCCGAAGCTGCGCGTCCATCTCGTGAACCAGTTTCCGAACGTCAGCTATGGACCGAGCCAGTTCGAGAGGCTTGCCTTGGCGCACAGAATAGCCCCGCCATACTGCTTGCAACTTCCGAGCAGCATCGTCAGCCGATAATGACGATACGCGAGCGATTTTAGCAGCAGGAATTCCGGCGACGCCCGCCATTGGCGACGCTGCCGGCGTCTCGGGGCGCTTGCTACTATTGTTTGCTGGGTGCTGGACGGGTATTTGATGGGCAGCTGCTTGCTCCTGGTGCTGTGATTGTCGAATCTTTGTCTCATTCACGTCGTGCTGCGCCCCTCGCGCGTACGCTGCATGCCTTCGCGCGTCAAGCTCGTGCGCTTGCTGCTTCCGCGCAATCTCATGTTTCCGTGTGTCATTGCGTCGTCTCTGCGTCATATTCCCAGCTGATGAGTCAAAACCGTTGTCGAATAGGAACGGATCGCCAAAAAGCGGAGACGAAGAGGAGGCAAAGTTCCAAGGTGACGGTTGGGAATGACAATGGGTCGGGTAAGACGATGCGAGAAGGTGAGGTTGCTGTCGCTCGAAAAGCAGATCTGACATACCGAATGCCATTCTCTGAAGACCGTCTATCCAATGAGGTGCTGGCGAAGCTGGTACGATTTTGAAAATAAGAGTTCGTCTAAAGCTTTGAGTTCGTCGTAAGCTGGTATGAAAGTAGCTGAAGGTGTTGTAGGTTTTTGAATGATGTCTCCGTCACTCGCCAATTGTATTTATAGAAGTGGCATGAATGATGACCGTGGTTCTAGAACCACCTCGGACTGTCGAGATGCAGCGAGAAAGCTCTGGTTAGCTCGGACCGAGCAGGTTTGCGAATCCGCGTGGTGCTTCGGGAATTCGCGTGTTTTTTCGCGAATAAGCGGTGTTTCGCGATTCCGGATATTGTTTCGCGAATTCGCGTGGTACCCTGCAAATCGAGGTGGTGCTTCGCCAGCCGCTTGCAACTTTGCAAAAACGCGTGGAAAATTGGGAAAGAGATGGCCTTTGCCCAGTGTGGTATTCCGTGAAATGCCGTGCCCGCTTCGTTGCGGAGCTCTGCGACGGGCAGGGCTGGGAGGGAGCAAGGGGGTGCATCGCGAAGCAGCAGTATTAGGGCAGGCTACCTCACGATCTGGTTGCGAGCGAATCAGAGGTCGTTCAGTTGTACTTTATGTTACAGTCGTTCAGAGAGTGTAAGATTTTGTAGGTAGCATATGCACACCAACACACCAAAGTGGGTCCATTCACCAATTACTGCCCTTTCAGCTGCGAGGTTCTCAATCAGTGAACATTAATCGATTCATTGATTCTATCATCAGCATAGCACATTAAACAAAAGCATTCACCTCTCATAAAATGTACACTACTGCACAAAGCCGGACTGAGAACCTAGAACCTAGAATTGAGCTGCCGAATCTCTGAGAACCGTGCTGCAGTTACAACATGATGCTCAGCCAATGAGCTCGGAGATAGGTGGCCTCTCCATGACATACGCAGACTGCTTTGCCGCCTTGGCCAATGAGGGATCGATGCCTGGAAGATACGGGATCTGCAATAGGAGTGTACGCCGGGAGAGGAGGAGAGAGGTGGAAAAGGCGGAGGCAGGGATAACGTGAGATGCAATAAGAGGAGCGAGCGAGGGTGGGAGAAAGGGAGAGTGGGGACATGGAGGAGAGTGAGAGAGGTAGGGCATGTGACAAGGCATCCGGAAGCAGAGAGATGATGCTTTACATGGGGCAATGATGCTCGTGATAGATTGAGATGATCTTTGGGAGACGGTAGTTGGCTGGAGCAATGAAGTGGCACAACAAACCTGAGAAAGTATATCAATGGTGCGCCTTAGCAGCCGCGCAATGTCCCCCTCGTCCAGCCCCGCACAGTCAGCGATGAGCTGGCGCCACGTCACACCCTGCGCCCACGCCTCCACCACTCCAGCGAACTGCGCGTCCAGGTCAGCAGGGATTGCCACGTTGGCAGCCAGCTGGAGCTGCATCAGCCAATCGCGGCGCTCTTCAGCTTCGTACACCCACTCTTGCACCTCCCAGGAAGGCTCGTACGGGAAGGAGGGCGAACTGGCGGGGCGAGGGTGGGGGGAAGGGGTAAGTGAGACCAAAGGGCACGGCATAAGGGATAGGGCAGATGCGAAAAGCAAGTTCTGGATCGACTCGAAACAAACCCGCACATACACCCACTCCTGCACATCCCAGGAAGGGTCATAAGGGAAGGAGGGCGAACTGGAGGGTGGGGGGAGGAGGAGTTGAGACCAAGGATGATATGAAAGGCTAGGGCATTAGGGAGAGGGCACATATGGAGGACAAGTTGTGAGACGTCTCAGACCATGCCTCACACACCCACTCCCGCACCTGCCAGGACGGCTTGTAGGGGAAGGAGGGCGAACTGGCAGGGTGGGTGTTAGGATGCAACAAAAGGGAATGGGCAAAACGGGAGAACGAGGGAGGGTTTATGGTTGACACCTGGCATTTCTCACCTCTGCACTAACACCTGTCACCTGCTGCTGTCTCCCGTACGCATGTGCATGCCTTCAGAACCCACCACAATGACTCACCTGCCGTCGCCTGTGCGCATGCGCATGCCTTCAGACACCAGAGCAGCGCAGCACCCCGCTATGGCCGGTGGAGAGAGGCACGGGAGGGAGGGGTGCGAGAGCGCCACTGCGATCCACAGCTCGTTCACCCCTCGCACCTGCGTGAATGGAGAGACGGAGGGGTGAGAAGAGTTTTGGTGAGGGGAGGGACGTTCAGAGGCAGCTCACGACATGGGTGGGGGGGAGGGGTGCGAGAGTGCCACCGCGATCCACAACTCGTTCACCCCTTGTACCTGCGTGCAGGGGAGGGAGGGTGGAGCAGATAATAGGCAAGGAGAGGGAAGTTCTGAGGCAGTTCACAACACGGAGCCAGGCGAAAAAACGGGAGAGGTGCATGAGGGAGTGATGTGTGGAAGAGCGCCACTACGCCACCCCGCTCCTCTACCCCTCACACCTGTAAGAATCCACCTGAACCAGCACCTGCAAAATTGGTGGTTACCCAGGTGAAAACTCAGCTGATTGCATATTACCCAAATCCCGGTAGGAGGAAAGAACGCTGCTACAACCTCACCTGTATCTTCATAAGAGAGAATTTGACCTGCTTTTCCACACAGCACCTGAACAAACACCTGACCCACCTGGCCTGGCCATGTCGCTGCTCACCTTGGCGGCAATCTCCCCGAGCGGCATGAGCGTGCTGCTCTGCGGGTCCAGCGCATCCGCCTGAGCCAGCACCTGAACCACCTGAACAAACTCCTGCCACCCCGCCGGCTGCATCCCCGCAATCCGCCTCCTCAGCGCCTCCACCCGCCTCCCCACCTTCCCCTCCTCATACTCACACCTCCCCATCTCCGTCACCTGCTGCTGCCGCCGCTTATACACCGCCGAAGCCTTTACTCTCTTTCTAATTTGTGATAGCTTCTGCTTGTGTGACTTGAGGGAGGCTTCGAGGGAGGAGAGTGAGGAGGGGAGGGTGAGGTGATTGGAGTCTTCTGAAGGGGAGAGGGGGGAGATGGGGGACCAGCCTTGGGGGAAGCGGATGGCGGAGGTGAGGTGGAGGAGGGGGGTTTTGGATTTGATTCGCCAGACGCTGAATGTGGGGTGAGGGGTGGATAGCCACGAGGCAAATTGTGATTCGCTTTCAGTGGTGCTGGTGGGTAAGGAGTCTCCTGCAGCTCCCAAATCCCGATCTCCCATTTTCCCAATCATTCCCTCGTTCCCATTCTCTCCCCACTTGCCCCTTCCACTTTCTTCTTCTCCTCCTCCCACCTCCGTTCTCTCCCCTTTTTCCCCTCTGCTCCCCCTGAGCCATCCCTGTAGCATCTCCGGCACAGGCGGCAGGAAAAGTTTCAGCTTTGCCGCCCGCTGCCACCCAGCCGTCTCATCTGCCTCGTCCTGCCGGCCATCCGGCCAGAGGTACCTGCCAACGAGCTGCCGCCCGTCGGCCGCTGACATGGCGAGCTCCGATTGGTCGGTGGGGTCGTACTGCGCTCTGATTAGCTGGCGGATGCAGGGCGAGGGGAGGACGTACCAATGGGAATCCTCCCCTATAACTGCCACGTAGGACGGCGATGAGGAGAGAGAGGATGGGGAGGAAGAGGAGGAAGAAGAGGAGGATGATGGAGTGGTGCTGGTTCTACGGTCACTGTCATTTAGACCGCCCAATTGAGCCACCTTTTTCAGTCCTTGGGCCTCTCTCCCTTCCTCCTCCTCCTCCTCCTCCTCCTGCTCCCTTCCCCTCTCCCCTCCCTCTCCTCCCCTTCCACTATTCCGCAAACTCCTCTTTCCATCCCCCTTTCCCTTCACCACTCTTCCCTTCGCCACTCTCCCCATATCACCGCCCTCCTCCTCCCCCACCCCTCCTTCCTCCGCCCAGTCCTCCCCCTCCTCCTGCAGGTACGGGGGAAGCGCCTCCAGCTGCCCAACCAGCAGCCCCCGAACCGACCGCACAGCCCCGGACGCCAGGTCCGGGAACTTCGCCGTTACCACGAGCCTGCGCCCCACAGGTGCGGGAGCGGGGCGAGCAGCACCATTCCCACCAGGCACAGTAAAATCAGGGGCACCATTCATCCCACTAGCGGCTGCTGAAGTTTCAACTGCAGGCAAATCATCAGAGGCAGCAGCGCCGTCTGTAGCGGCAGCAACGGCAGCAGCAGCAACGGGTGCTTCGTGTGCCGCGTGAGCCTCTTGAGGCTCGTCAGCCCAGAGCAAGGCGTCCTGTATCTGGGGGTCAAGGGCGGATGCTCGCTGCTGAAACAATTGCCTCTGCAGTGTTGCCACCGTGTGCCGCGTGGACTGCAGGAGAAGGGGGGGGTGTGGGGGAAAGGGGGAGAGGGCGAGAGTATGATCGCAGAGAGCGGGAGGGGTGGAGGGTGCCGGCGTGTGTGAAGAGATGTGATGAGAGATGCGGGCAGGGAGGTTTTTTTGAGAATTCTCAAAAACACCCTGCAGCAAGAGAGAAGGGAGGAAGGGAGAGAGTGAGCACGCCAGGAAGAGCGGCACCTGAATCAGTGCCCCCCCACACCGCTCTCAACCCATTTAACCCATAAACTCACCACGAACTCTCCCACCATGGCTCGGAACGCGCCTGTCACCTCGTCGCTTCCCTCCTCCTCGCTCCTCATCTGCCTCTCCACCTCCCCCCTGCGCTGCCTCAGCTGCTGCAGTTTCTCCTCCAGTGTCGCTAGCTGCTGCCGCGCCTGCTGTAGCACCTGTGGAGAGGCAAAGAGGGGGGAGGTGGGGAAGGTGGAAGTTTGAATGTGGCACGTCTCCTCTTCTTCTCCTCCAGTGTCGCTAGCTGCTGCCGCGCCTGCTGTTGCACCTGTGGAGAGGCAAAGAGGGGGGAGGTGGGGAAGGTGGAAGTTTGAATGTGGCACGTCTCCTCTTCTTCTCCTCCAGTGTCGCTAGCTGCTGCCGCGCCTGCTGTAGCACCTGTGGAGAGGCAAAGAGGGGGGAGGTGGGGAAGGTGGAAGTTTGAATGTGGCACGTCTCCTCTTCTTCTCCTCCAGTGTCGCTAGCTGCTGCCTCGCCTGCTGTAGCACCTGTGGAGGGGAAGGAAGGGATGAGACGTCTCAAAACACACTTATTCAATCGCACTCTACCTCTTCCTCTCCTCTTGCGCTGCCAGCTGCTGCCAAGCCTGCTGCAGCACCTGTGGAGGGTGCAGGGTGGGGGAAAGGGGGGATGGTGGGGGGTAGCATTAGGATAGTAAGGTAGGGGGTTGCCGGGGTGTGTGTGGGATAGCAAGGTAAAAAAATGCACTTCCCGCTCCCACTCCATCTCTCCTCCAGCACTGTCCGTTGCTGTCCAGCACCTGCAGAAGGGCAAAAGGGGAACGGTTGGCAAGACTGGGTGTGAATGCAGCAGTATGCCTGATGTAGCGACAGCACAGCTGGCGCAGATGACTCTTGAGGCACTGAATAACTGCCTTAAAAAGCTCCTCTGATGTAGCGACAGCACAGCTGGCGCAGACGACTCTTGAGGCACTGAATAACTGCCTCAAAAAGCTCCTCTGATGTAGCGACAGCACAGCTGGCGTAGATGCAGATCAGACGTGGTTGGTACTAACAGTAACTGCGTACCCACTTTGCCACCCACCCACCCACTTTGCCACCCATCCATCCATCCACCCACCCATCCACCCACCCACCCACCCATGGTAACTGGACGGACAATTCGATGGCACACTCCCACATGCATACCTCGCTCGCGAGGTAGTTCCCGAAGCTCCTCTCTACCAGCGCCTTGGCCTCCTCCAAAGGCTGCGATTGCTGCCCACCCACCTGCAAGCTTGTGCGGTAACACCGCCGCTCACCTCGCTGGCCAGGTAGTTCCCAAAGCTCCTCTCGATCAGCGCCTTGGCCTCCTCCATGCTGCGCCCCCGCCGCACCGGCACCAACGCAGCTGCCGCTGCCGAAGCATCGGCTGCTTGGCCCTCCTCCCCTGCAGCAGCTGCTGCAGGTGGCTCGCCTGCAGCACCGTTACTGGTAGCGTCACCCTCGCCTGAGTCACCCCCTTCTGGGCCCGCACCGCTGCCCGCCTCTGTCTTCTCCTGCCACACTGGAGCACCCTGCGGAAAAAACATGCGACAAGAAAAGAAGAAAAGAATGAAGCGGACGAGGGGAATGGGGGGTGGGAGAAGGGAGGGAGCAAGCAGGGAGAAGTGAGGAGGGGGGGGGGAGGGGGAGGGGGGGAGGGATGTGCGAAAATGAAGAGAGAAGATGACGAGGGTATGGGGAAATGAAGAGAGAAGATGACGAGGGTATGGGGAAATGAAGAGAGAAGATGACGAGGGTATGGGGAAATGAAGAGAGAAGATGACGAGGGTATGGGGGAATGAAGAGAGAAGATGACGAGGGTATGGGGAAATGAAGAGAGAAGATGACGAGGGTATGGGGAAATGAAGGGCAAAGGCATGCGGTAGGGAAAGGTCAAATGGGGAGGCTTTTTATATGATTCAGAAATAATCAAACGCACGATGTGTGCGTGGGAAGGGCATGACCCATAGCTCATGCGAGTCATGTGGAGATTAACCCTTGGGGCAGGGCAGGCAGGCAAACAGCAACTTGAGAATCCACGCAATGATTTCTCTCTTCAAACACAAGTTGAATGAACCACACTCACACACCCACCCCCAGCAGGTTGAGCGCCATGCCATAGGTGGCGGTGAATTGAGAGACGAGGGGATCAGCCCCTCCCAGCAGCAGGCGGCAGCAGTCCTGAGCTCCCTCAAAGGGCGTCTGCACCACCACCACGTGCCCCTGCTTGTCCTTGCCCCTCCTCCCCGCCCTCCCCGCCATCTGCAGGAGTGCGTTGGCTGAGAGAAGGCTGCGACCCGCGTTGCCCCTGGGGTGGGAGAGAGGAGAGGACGAGAAGGGAGAAACAATGAGGCGCTTTTGAGAACTCTCAACAATGAGGGCAACAATCAGCATCACGTTTTCGCGTTGTGGTGGCAGCTGATTGCGGATGGCAACCACAACAAGATGAATTCTGAGTCGACTTTTGAGAATTCTCAAAAGTCGCACCAAAACTTCTGAGTCGACTCAAAAGTCACCTTGGCAGCTGATTGCAGATAGCAACCTCAACAAGCACATACATGCGTACCCACCCATCACACGTACCATCGCTCACAGCACCATACATACTTACCACCATGCGCCTATCATCGTTCCTACCCGCCCAGATGCTTGGATAGCGCAGAGAGCACAGTGGTGCGAGCTGGCATGTTGATGCCCGCTGACAGTGTCTCCGTGGCGAATACCACCTGGCGGGGAAAGGGCAAGTGAGGTGGGGAGAGGAGGAGAGTGGTGTGGGGAGGAGAGAGAGGAAAGGGCGCAGGACAGGCCTCTGTGGCGAATACCAGCTGTTTTGAGTCGACTCAAAACAATACCACCTGGCGGGGAGACGAAATGGGGAGGCAGAGAGAACAGAGGGGTAGGAAGTGGAGTGAGAGGCAGAGAGGAGAGGGGCAGAGAGCATGGTGTTGCGAGCACGCACGTTGATGCGAGCTGACTGGATCTCTGTGGCGAACACCACCTGGTGGGGGGAAACCACACAACACCAGACAGCACGTCACAGCACTACACAGCACCACACAGCACCACACAGCACCACACAGCACCACACAGAAACGCACAGCACCGCACGAACCTTAACCAGCCCGCGTTGAAAGAGGTCCTCCACGAAGCCCTTCCAGGGCAGCAGGCACCCCGCATGGTGCGCCGCCACTCCCTTCTAAAAGCGCCTCCCCATCAGCACAGTACCACATAGCACCACACAGCACCTTTCAAAATTGCGCACCTTGACGAGCCCCCGTTGGAAAAGGTCCTCCACGAACCCCTTCCAGGGAGGCAGGCACCCCGCATGGTGTGCTGCCACTCCCTTCTTCAACGCTTCTCCAGCAGCCCAGCAACCCAACAGCACCGCACAGCACCACACCACATCATACAGCACCACACACCACCGCACAGACCTTGACGAGCCCGCGTTGAAAGAGGTCCTCCACAAACCCCTTCCAAGGAGGCAGGCACCCCGCATGGTGCGCCGCCACCCCCTTCTTGAGCGCCTCCACCGCCCCCTCCCTCACTGCCTCCGGCTGCTGCTGCCTCAACGCCGCTATCGCTTCTACCACTTCTGCCTGTCAACACAAGCGGAAAGAAGGGACGGTGGAAGGGGGGTGGGAGAGCGGGAGTGTGGGAGGAGCAGGGTCAACAAGAGGTCGAGCCGACATTCGCTGCCCCCTCCCTCACTGCCTCCGGCTGCTGCTGCTGCCTCAGCGCCGCTATCGCTTCTGCCACCCACCTCCGCCGGTGCACACAAGGGGAGAGGGAGGGGACGGGGAGAGGGAAAAGAGAGGCGGATGGGCAACAGGGAGGCAGGCAGGCTCACGCGATCATGCTGCCTGTGGCTGCACTGCAGCCTCCTCAAGGCCCATATGCCCGCATCTGCTTCTCCCTCGCACACACCCCATCTCCCCACACCCTCCCTCACATGTTTCTTGGGTGATAACAGCTTGGTATCCCGCTTGAGGCCCATGTGCCCTCATCTCTTCCCACTCCGCCCCCTCTCACGCTCTCACCAGCCCTCTGACTCACCTGCCCATTCCCTCCCTCTTCACCCTCTCAACTGTTCATTCTCTCACCCCTTTCCCTCAATCACCTGTTCACAGGGCGACAGCAGGTTGGTATCTCGCACAAAGCTCACAGCCGTATCGCACCCGCGGCGACTAAAGATGAACCAGATGGCCGGCAGCATGTCCTTCCTTCTCAGCTGCTCCAGTTGGTATCGTATCGTGCATCCACTCACACCCTCATCGCTGCATTCCCTTCCACTCCCTCACCAGCATCAGCCCTCTCACAAACCACCCCTTTTCAAACCCCTTCCCCTTCCTTGCTCCCTCACCTGTTCACAGGGCGACAGCAGGTTGGTATCTCGCACAAAGCTCACAGCCGTATCGCACCCGCGGCGACTAAAGATGAACCAGATGGCCGGCAGCATGTCCTTCCTTCTCAGCTGCTCCAGTTGGTATCGTATCGTGCATCCACTCACACCCTCATCGCTGCATTCCCTTCCACTCCCTCACCAGCATCAGCCCTCTCACAAACCACCCCTTTTCAAACCCCTTCCCCTTCCTTGCTCCCTCACCTGTTCACAGGGCGACAGCAGGTTGGTATCTCGCACAAAGCTCACAGCCGTATCGCACCCGCGGCGACTAAAGATGAACCAGATGGCCGGCAGCATGTCCTTCCTTCTCAGCTGCTCCAGTGTGTCTCTCACCCGCGGCACCTGCCGCCGCCACTGCTGCTGCACCTGCTGCGCCGACAGCTCCTCTACTCGATTCTTCGCCTCCCCCCGCCGCCCCCTCCCCACCAGCTCGGCTAACCCTCCCCCGCTACGTGACAAAGCCGCCGCGATTCCCTTGCCGTTCTTGCCGCCCTTTTTGCCTCCTCTCCCTGCGTCTCTGTCTGCTCCTCTCCCTGCGAAGCCCTTGGATTCCTTGCCTCGCCTGCCGCTGCTGCTGCTGCTGGTTTGATCGTCGGCATCCCACCGTTGGAAGGATCTGCCACTGCCACGTGGCAGCATCCTACCGGATTGCAGCTCCTCCAATAAGGGGTCGCCAGCTGGCCGCAGCAGCAGCTGACTGGGGGAGGGCTCGAGGGAGGTTTGAAGGAGGGTCGGGGGAAATTTGGGGAAGAGTTGGAGAGGGTTGAGAGGAAGTTGGGGAGAAGTTATGGGGGTGGGGGGTTTAGGGATGGTTTGGCAGAGAGAGGAATGGGGGACGGGGGATAGGATGTGGGAGGGGGGGGAAAGAAAAGGTGTGGGTAATATGGGGGAACAAAGGGGAGGGGGAAGGGGAAAGGGGAGGAAAAAATCGACAACAACGTGCACAGGGGTGAAAGAAAGCGAAGCGGAAAGAGGGGAGGAGTGGATGGGGAGAGAAGGGAGGGAGAGGAGCAGGGGGGGGAAGAGAAGGGTTGGAAGGGAAAAGTGGAAGGGGGGGGGGAGAAGGAGACAAGCGAGTGCTAGTGTGTACGGGTTGATGTCGCGGCCGCGGTTGTCGAGAAGAGGCAGCATGCGGAAGCGCGTGGAGAAGTGCCACTTGAGCGGTACCGGGCGGTGCTGTGAGGTGACCAGCTCCGTCTGCCCATGCACCTGATGGCAGTGGGGCAGGCAGGCGAGTGGGAGGGTGGGCAGGCAGGCGGATGGGCGGGAAAGGAAAATGGCAATGGGAGATGTATTATGAGGTGACTTTTGAGTCGACTCACAAGTCGCAGGCGGATGGGCGGGAAAGGAAAATGGCAATGGCAATGGGAAAGGAGATGTATTATGGGTTGTGAAGGTCGCAGAGGAGGCAGCAGCTAGGCAAGATGGATGAATGGAGAGGATGATGCAAGCACAGATGCATGCATGCATGCATGCACGCAGGATATGCTGCCAGAGAGGATGCCGACAGATGGCAGAGGGCAGGAGGATACGAGGAGAAACATCAAAGTCAGCACGGCGGGGACAAGGTAGAAGCGGAGGGATGTAGGAGGTGAGATGCACGGTTGAGAGTGGTGATGTGGCGCCACCTCGAGGCGAACCCCAAGCGAGAGGGAGCCAGGGACGGGAGGAGGGAGAAGAGCAAGCAGTGGGAGAGAACAGCGTGATGGCTTGCAGACGAAGATCTCAATCACTCACTCACCCTGCCAATCCAGTCTGCAAGCTCATCAGGGTTGGCGACTGTGGCGGAGAGGCACACGAGCTGGATGGATTTGGGGCAGTAGATCACCTGCATGTAGGGACACACGGGGAGGGAGGGAGGGAGGGCGGAGGTGGGCGGTGTGGGTGGGTAGGAGAGAGTTCTTTCACGTCTCTCCCAAGAGATGTTGTATAGGGGCGGATTCGATTGCAGCGAGCCAATTGAGCTCGCTCGTGCCTAGATCTACATGGTGATATACATGGATCTAACCAGATTTAACGAGGAGAGAACAACAGCGAGCAGAAGAAAGACTTCAAAAGTCAATTGGTAAGACAAAACATCGCCTGGGATGCGTGTGCGAACGCGTTTCGGCCAAACAGTCCTTCATCAGCGTAGTGAGGGAGGGGTAGGTGGGTGGTGTGGGTGGGTGGGTAGGAGAGAATTCTGTCGCGTCTCTTTCAAGAGGCAGGCACACGAGCTGAATGGCCTTGGAGCAGTAGATCACCTGGGTGATCACTGCTTGGCCTTGGTGCTCGCTCGCAGCGCACTCAGGGAGGAGAGGGTGGGGTGCATAAGGGAGAACCATGTTGGATGTGGTAATAGGACAAACCGTATACAGAATCGGTGATTCTGTTTTACGATGGCAGTCATTTTGACGTGCTCGTGGTAAGATGTAATGTATGATTGTCTATATCGTTAGTCACGTTTTTTATGCACTTGATGCAACAATTCAGCGTTTTATATTAATTTGCTGGCCCTCGTTTTTTTCATACCTCCTTCCCTCATTACCCATTTTGTCCCTCTTGCAATTGTTCCCTTATATGGGAGCTTCAGAGACTCTTGATCAGACAGTGTTCACTGCTTCAGGCAGTGAAGCACTTCCGTTGGCAAATCGTCGGAGCACGACCTTATTCATGGAGGAAAACGAGAAGTAAATACCATGAGCACAAGTACCACGGGATTTTTTTCATGTTCAATGGCATGAAGAGATTGTGCCATTCAACATGGTACTTGTGTTCATGGTACTTCTCGTTTTCCTCCATGAATAGTGTCGCGCTCCGGCAAATTGCCACCGGAAGTGCTTCACTGCCTGAAGCAGTGAACACTGCCTGATCAAGAGTCTCTGAAGCTTTCATATAGAGATGAGCATTTGCCCCGCTCGGGTCGGGCCGGCCCGACCCGACCCGAGCAAAAACCCGACCCGAGCATGGAACTCGGGCCGGGTCGGGTCAGGTTTCGGGTCAAGTCTGACCCGACCCGAATTCGGGTCAAGACAAGGGAAATCGGGTCGGGCTTTTGTTCCGACCCGATTTCGACACAGAGGGCACGAAACCCTAGTTAAATTGTGATCGAGGGATTTTTTATCCCCTCGACATCAAAACCTACCCACGCTCTCAATCTTGCCTAACGGCAGCAAGCAAGTCACCAAAGCTTAGAAACTACTTAGTTAGGGCCCATTCAAACCTCATTGACAGACATTTATAGCTAGTTTACTATCGTATCCTTCTGTTCACGGAAAATCGCGATGCAGGAATGGCGTTTTTTTTCAACTTCGCGTTTTACACCCCTGCTCCCTCTAAAGGGCGGGTCAGACTGGCTCGACCCGACCCGACCCGTGACCGGGTCCAAGCTGACCCGAGTGTGTAGGCCCGGGTCGGGCCAGAACTTTCAGGAACCTGGCCCGAGCCTGGCCCGACCCGACCCGACCCGGGAGCCCGTGTGGCCCGGCCAGGTCGGGTCGGGTCGGGTCGGGTCGGGTCGGGCCATTTGCTCATCTCTATTTTCATATAAAGGGACAACTGCAGGAGGGACAAAATAAGTAATGAGGGAAGGAGGTATGAAAAAAACGAGGGTCAGCAAAGTAATATAACACACCAAATTGTTGCATCAAATGCATAAAAACGTGACTAACGATATAGACAATTATATATTACATCTTACCATGAGGACGTCAAAATGACTGCCATCGTAAAACAAAATCACTGATTCTCTATACAATTTGTCCTGTTACCACATCCAACATGGGGTGCTCATCTTCTTGCAGCAGGCGTGGATGTAGCAGGTATGCTTGCTTGCATCGCAGGTAGTCCAACAGCCAGGCCGAACATAAGGTGAAGTATAATTCGGCCGAGTGAAACCCAATCCCCGCCAGCCAGCCCCTCCCCCCCACTCACCATCTCCTCCCACACAGTGCCTCTGAAAATGTCAGACTGGTATCACAGCTCACACCTGTTATGCACCTCGTCCAGCATCACTAGTGTGAGCCGTGATACCCATTCCCCACCACCAGCCAGCCCATCCCCCTCACTCACCGTCTCCTCCCACACGGTGCCCCTTGAGATGTCCGAGAGGTAATGCACCTCGTCCAGCACCACCGCCTGCTGTGAGTGCTGTGATACCCATTCCTACCAGCCCCAGCACAGCACAGTTGCCCTCTCCACTCACCGTCTCCTCCCACACGGTGCCCCTGGAGATGTCCGAGAGGTAGTGCACCTCGTCCAGCACCACCGCCTGCTGTGGCAGCTCATACAACCTACAGCAAGGCTTGGCTGCCCCTCCCACTCACCGTCTCCTCCCACACAGTGCCTCGGGAGATGTCAGAGAGGTAGTGCACCTCGTCCAGCACCACCGCCTCCACTCCCCTTAGCCTCTCCTCCTCCGCCTCGCCCGCTCCCATGCTGACGAGAGGGCGGGAGAGGGTGGGAGGAGAGGGAGGGAGAGAGGTGGGGTGAGGAGAGGGAGTGTAGGGAAAGGGGGAGGGAGTTGAGGGAAGAGGAGAGGAGGGGATGAACGGGGTGAGAGGGAGTGCGCCTCGTTCATGGAGGGATGAGAAAAGGAGAGGAGGGAGGGGAGAATGGGAGGATGGGGATAGATGACGTTCCACTATAATCACAAGCCACAGCATCCCTTAATAGTCACACATCACACCTGGTGTAGACCATTTGGCTATTGTCACACGTGGTGTAGAGCATCTCGCTACAGTCACGCATCTGGTGTAGGGCATGTCAGAGTCACACCCCTATAGTCACACACACCTGGTGTAGAGCATGTTGCGCATCTATTCCCCCCTTTATAGTCACACCTGGTGTAGAGCATGTTGCGCATCTACCCCCAATATAGTCACACCTGGTGTAGAGCATGTTGCTATAGTCACACACCTGGTGTAGAGCATGTTGCGCAGGATCTCAGTGGTCATGACGAGGATGGGCGCGTCCCTGTTCACTGCCACGTCACCAGTCAGCAGCCCCACGTTGCCCTCCCCAAACTTCACCCTGCCATTCCACGTAGCAGCACAGCATTGGTTGGAACAGACAGACAGTAAAGAAGCGGGCTTGTGATGCACAAGGCAGAAAAAAGAGGAGGCAGAGCAGGAAACCAGTAGCGTTTTGAGACGTCTCAAAACCCGCTTCCCTACCATCTTGCAGAGCACTGAAATGGGATACACGTACGTGAGGTCCCAGGGGTCCTCACTCATCGGAGAGCCACGCAACCTCAGCATCACAACAGCATCAAGCAGTGCAGGTAGCAAGCAGCGCACCTGAAGTCCCTGAGTTTCTGGTTGGAGAGGGCCTTCAGTGGCGTGGTGTAGATGAGGCGCCCTCCCCGTGCCATGGTGGCCGCTGCTGCTGCCTCCCCCACGAGTGTCTTGCCACTGCTGGTGGGCGCACACACCACCACTGACGACCCCCGCAGGAACGCCTCTATCGCCACTCGCTGAAGGAGGGAGAGGGAGGTGTGGGGGTAAGGAGGGGGGGAGAGGGGGTTGGGGTTTAGAGGTGGGTTTGGAAAATCGGGAATCAGGGTTAAGGGTTTAAGGTGAGATCGGGGGTCAAGAGGGTGAGTGAAAGGTTTAGGGTCAGAGTTGAGAGGTGAACACACAACAGCCAGCGCAGGTCGGAAAGTCTTTCAACGGGATACCAGAGGAGTGGCGGAAACGAAGGAGGGGAAGCAAAATGCTGGAATGCATTCGGCACAACAAGCGTTGCAAGCAGCCCATGACGGTTGCAGCCCATGACGGTTGCAGCCCATGACGGTTGCAGCCCATGAAGGTTGCAGCCCATGACGGTTGCAGCCCATGACGGTTGCAGCCCATGACGGTTGCAGCCCATGACGGTTGCAGCCCATGACGGTTGCAGCCCATGAAGGTTGCAGCCCATGACGGTTGCAGCCCATGACGGTTGCAGCCCATGACGGTTGCAGCCCATGACGGTTGCAGGCTATGACGGTTGCAGCCCATGAAGGTTGCAGCCCATGACGGTTGCAGCCCATGACGGTTGCAGCCCATGACGGTTGCAGCCCATGACGGTTGCAGCCCATGACGGTTGGCAGCACGGCAGTTGTTTCTTGCAGAGTGGCAAGGAGGCAAGGACAGGAGGAGGGTACAAAGGACTAGAAAACCAACGACTGGCATCATTCACCTGAAACTTGTCAATGGGATGGTCGAACAGCCTCGCCAGATCACGAGCCGTGATCACCGCACCAGCTGCAGCTGCACCAGCATCGGTGGCATACTGAGCCTGCTGCACTCGCATCTGCAGCTGATGCACCCTCTCACTCATGTTCATCCCCTCCATCCCCATCCCCTCCCCTTCCTCCCCTTCCTCCTTCTCCTCCTCCTCCTCCTCCTCTTCCTCCTCCTCCTCCTCTTCCTCCTCCTCCTCCTCCTCGTCATAGTCACTCTCCCCTACAATCACATCCAGCACCCCTTCCTCTAGCTCCTCCAAATCCTCCCCGCCCCCCTCCTCCTCCACCTCGTCATCATCCATCTCGAATCGCGTCATGCCTCCGCCAATCGCGGCGCCACCTGCGCCGCGCTCTCTCTGCTGCTGCAGAGACTCGAAGCGCTCCATCAGCTGGTCCACCGTTCTAGTCACATTCCGCTCGTCCTCGCTGTAACCGCCTCCGTTATAAGCACTCGACGCGTTGTAAGCGCCTCCAAATTCGCTTGTTTCGCCATCCCAGCCTTGGGATCTCCAGCTGTCCGATTCGTTATCAACTGATTCGCTACCAACTCCGCCGTTTCTGCGTGTCCCACCTCCCCGCTTCCCCTTCCCGTTATCATTCCGCTCCGCACTCCCCCGTATGCCCCTCGTACTGGAAATCTCCCCCGGGCCTTCCGCCGACCGCGCCAAATGCGGGCCCGAGCCATCCCTCCCACTCGGCCTCCGCGCTAAAAACCCTAATCCTTGCGCCCTCCGCAATCCCTCCCTCCCCCGGAGTCCCTTATTAGAAAGTCCATTCCACTCGTGCCTTAATATTGTACCCTTCCCTGCGCCGCTTAAGCACAGCCTAATTTGCGCGGAGCGTGGACGCGCGCTCGGAGCGGCGGAAGGGAGGCGGAGCGAGGGGAGAATCGGGAGGGAGATGAGGGGGAGAGAGCTGAACGAGGCGCAGGAGGAGGGGAGCTGTGGGGATCCTGACGCGAGACATGGCCGGGTGATGACGGAAGAGTTATTGCCGACGCGGGGATTCGAAACTGCGACGCATCGCGAGTGAACGGAAGCTGCCATAAGAGCGATGCGTGGACGCACCGGGACAGACTGTCGAAGAGTCCCTCGCCTGCTTCCGTCAATGACTGATTTTCGGGATTTTTCCTTCGTGTTCCCGCGCAGGCAGCTAGTCCTCTCAGCTAACGTAGCACAATAGAGCAAAGGCACATTCTGGAAGGCGCGATTCTAATCTAGACTTACAACGCGACAAGCCCAAGCGTAACCACTGGTTCAGCGAAAAAACAGAATGGCGCGGAGGGGTGATAGTGCCGAAAGTATGCTAGGGGAGAGGGATATGTGCGGAATATCCATGATCAGGGTGATTGGATTTGACCCCTCGTTTCGCTGAGGCGGATTTTGGCCTTAGCGGTTTTAAGAACGTTCCGCGTTGCATTTTCATTGCAGTTACCATATTTTTAGCAGTCTTGTAGTGTAATGTTTCATCGAAACTTTCTTCGACACCCTGAAACGAAGCTCAGCATTCTGGGTTGATCTTGGAGCCTTTGGAGTTCAATATCGCTAGAAAACTACCAAAACGCATAGAACTGTAAACGAATCGCTCTGACATGCGCAACATCCCATCCACCGCAAAAAAGTGAACATTGGACACGCCCTTTTTGTGTGCTTTGTTTCGTAACAAGCCTTCGACACTTTTCTAGCCGTTGAAGGTGTGTCACGGTTGGGGGTTTGAATCGAACCGCACCCTGATGCTTGGATAAGATTAACCCAACCAACATTCATCGTCCTAGACCGCACCAAAATGCATAGAATCTATCAGTCCAATCCCCCCACTTCGTTTTCTGCAACTACTGTACTGCATGCATTTTGTGCTTACTGTGAGGAAGCTTGAGTAGAGGTAGGGAACTTGTCAAAACGACGCAGCGCGATCAACACCCCACGACCTTGTACTATCTAGGCTTGTTCCGGCCATTAGCATTGGTTTCTATAGGAAATCACCGTCATGCTCCTAGCAGAAGATCCTTGACATTTCGTTATCCCGCCCGCCCGGTTGTATCTGTGCGACGCTTCCGTCCGAGTCGCCCGCGACGTTCGCGGAAAGTCGCTCGTTTTCGTCAGCACTGTATTTCTGTAACAACACCCAGTGGCTAGCGTCAAGCTACCGCAGCGACAATGCTTCCCTGTCGCGCGCTCTCTTCCTGCGCGCGGCTTCAAATTATATTTTTTTCGCACGTCCCCCTGCGACTCTCTGCGACCAACTGGCGATCACCTCCGTCACCGATCCCAACCGATCCGCACCTTGCTCTAACCTCTGGTTTCCCGCGGCAAATAAGCACGCGCCTCTCCCAGTCTACCGCAGTATCACCTGCTGCAGGTCGACCGAGTGCCGACAATTCCGCCGCGTCTTCAGGGAACACACGAAGTGCTACTAGCGAACGTGACAGCCAGCCCCCCCGTGTGAAACCCTCCGCCCGCCTTCGGCCGCAAGCCGTTACTTCCGACTCTCATGCTACCCCCAGTGCTAAGCCCTCGACCCGCCGGCGAACGCGCACGGCTGCTGCTGGTGCTGCTTCCGGCGCGCCTGTAGCGGACGTGCCAGTAACGGGCGGCAGTGCTGTTACCGCAGAGGGCGCGACTGTAACGGGCCCAGCAGCGTCCGCGGGGGAAGCACCCGCGGGGGCGCAGGCGGAAGGGGAGTGGGAAGAGGCGCAAGGAGCGCGGGGCGGCGGGGCGATCCACGTGATCACGGGGCCGATGTTCGCGGGGAAGACGACTGCGCTGCTCGCGCGCATGCACGAGGAGATGGGGCGCGGCAGGTGAGACGGCAGATGAGACGAGGCAGGTGAGCGATTGGGCGCGGCAGGTGAGAGATTGGGCGCGCCATGTTAGCGAATATCCATTGAGGGTCACGCCTTTCTTACCAATTCGAAGCGTCTAGAACCCGAGACCAGAAACCCAAATTCTTGCATTCGAACTGCCAAATCCTGCAACCCCAACGTGTGAGCGCGTGGCGTGGCAAGCACGTGGCGGTGCTGAAGTGGCGTGCAGACACACGGTACACACAAGCCCGTGCCCGACACCCCAAACACCCAAATAGCATCAACCAAACCCCAAGCACCCATAAAGCATCATAGCATCATCAACCAAACCCCAAACCTCAAACAACCGAACACCAAAACCTTCAACATCCAAACCCCAGATTTCGTTCTCACGGCACTGCAGGCGCGTGGTGGTGATGAAGTCAAAGGTTGACACGCGGTACGCACGGGACGCAGATGACTGGAACCACGAACCGTAACTCTTAAACCCCAAACTCTGCAGGAGTGTGGTGGTGGTGAAGTCAAAGGCCGACACGCGGTACGCGCGGGACGCGGTGGTGTCGCACGACGGCGCCGCCATGCCGTGCCTTGCTGTGCGGAGCCTGCTGGAAGTGCTTTCAGAGGATGGGGCGCACCGAGAGGCCTACGAGCAGGTGAGGCCCGGCTCGGAAGCAGCCTGCTGAAGGTGCTAGCAGAGGGAGGGGCCGACACGAGGTGCGGTGGTGTTGCACGAAAGTGCCGCCATGCCGTGCCTCGCCGTGCGCTCCCTGCTGGTGGTGCTGGTGGAGGAGGAGCCGCACTGAGAAGCCTACGAGCAGGTGGGGATCAGCAGAGGGATTGACTGCGGTACGCACGGGATGCAGTGGTGTCGCACAACGGTGTCGCCATGCCATGCCGTGCCGTGCACTCCCTGCTGGAGGTGCTTTCAGTGGAGGGGCCACACCGGGAAGCATAGGAGCAGGTGAGGCGCTGGCAGGTGACAGAGTGCCGTGCCGTGCGCTCCCTGCTGGAGGTGCTGGTGAAGGAGGGGGCGCGCCGAGAAGCATACGAGCAGGTGAGACCCGGGAGGAGGCTCGCTGGAGGTGCTGGTGGTGGGAGGGAGGGAGGGAGGGAGGGAGGGAGGGAGGGAGGGAGGGAGGGAGGGAGGGGCCGACAGGCGTACCAGCAGGTGAATTCTTGCAATCAGCCTCTCTCTTATCTGCCCCCACCTCTCCACTCCCCTCTGTGTCCCCCTGTCCCCCTTTCCCCCCCGCCCCCCTGCCCCCTTGCCCCCCACCCCTCCCTCCATCCGCCATCCCCCAGGCAGCAGTGATCGGGGTGGGCGGGCTAGTGGTGTGTCTAAAACAGCTGCCCACCTCTTCCCTGCCTCTCCACCCCACCCTGTGCCTCCCTGCCTGCCCCCACCACCTCACCCCCCAGGCATCGGTGATCGGGGTGGACGAGGCGCAGCTCATTCACGGGCTGGTGGGGTTTTGCAATCAGCCTCTCTCTTATCTCGTCCCATCTCCCACTCTTCTCTGTGTGCCCCTGCCCCCCTGCCCCCCACCCCACCCCATTCCTCCAGCATCCCCCAGGCGGCAGTGATCGGGGTGGACGAGGCGCAGTTCATTCACGGGATGGCAGAGTCCTAAATTATGCCCCTTTCCCTCCCTTCGCCTCCCCTCTCCGCCCTCTGTCCCCCTTCCTCCACCCCACCCCCCACCCCTCCCCCTTCGCCCCATACGTCTCAGGCGGCAGTGAGTGGGTGGACAAGGCGCAGTTCATTCATGGGCTCGTGGCAGTTCCAATCAGCCTTTCTCCTCTTCCATCTCCTCCCCTCTCCACCCCGTGCCCCCACCCCCCACCCTACCCCACATCCCTCCGCCCCATGCGTCTCAGGCGGCAGTGATCGGGGTGGACGAGGCACAGTTCATTCACGGGCTGGTGGAGTTCTCCTTGCGGGCGGCAGACCATGACGGCAAGACACTGTTCATCGCAGGCCTGGACGGCGACTTTCGGAGGTGTGTGCCACGTGGTGTGCTGCTTGGTGGTATGCGATGATGTGCGGTGCTGTGGTGTGGTGCGTCGTGTTTTGTGCGGTCGAGCGATTTGGTCTGCGGTGGGGTGGCATGCTAACTCATCCACTGCCTACCTCTTGCGGTAAATTCTTCCAAACCTCTTGTTCATCTGGCTTCTTCTATTCAACTGTTACTCTCCATGTATCCCCCCCATCATTTGACCCCTCTTGACCACCCCACACATCCCATCTTTTAACCAAATCATCTGCCCATTTCACACTTCCAGTTCATCAGAGAATTTATGCCCCTTTTTTTATCTTCCTTGGCCTCACAGAAAGCGCTTTGGCGAGTTGCTTGATTTGATTCCGCATGCCGACTCCGTGACAAAACTTGCTGCCCGGTGCGAGATGTGTGGGCGGCCAGCCTCGTTCACTCTGCGCAAAACGCAGGAGACGAAGCTGCGGCTGGTGGGCGGCGCAGAGACGTACATGCCTGTCTGCCGAACGCACTACCTGAGCGGGAAATGTGTCGTTGAGCTCACACGAGATTTAGGGGCTATGCATGATCCGTCAAAGGATGATTCGACTTAGCCTAGCACATTACAGCTCATCATAAGGATGCTGGGGGAAGGGGGGCGGGTAGACCGTTGTTTAGGCTACCGTATGTCTGAATTCCCATACATAATGTAACAAAATAATTTGTGCTTATTCAACCGATTCCTCAGAACAATCGTTGAAGTTCCTTAGGCACATCACGGAATCACTCCATGATTCTCTAATTTCTACATGAACACTGTTATGAGTTGTGAATGAAAGAGTGTGGAAGTCAATAACAAAATTACCGGTACTGACAAGACAATGAAGCCTAGAAAATATTTAGTGAGGGACCTAACTAGGCGGGCACCTCAGAAGGCGAGGTTGGGTGCTGGTCTGGATTGCTTGGAAGTCAATAACGAAACTACCGGTACTGACAAGACAATGAAGACTATAAAATATTTAGGCGGGCACCTCAGAAGGCGAGGCTGGGTGCTGGTCTGGAACTGCCAAGTCCGAAGGCGACGTGGGTCGGCTTCGGGAGGCGAGGTCATCGGCCCAGCCTGGTCTTCCAAAAAGTTGGTATTGTACGAGTCGTAGCGTGTCTCAGCAAGGAATAGGGGAGAATCCTTACATTGCCCCTCCGCACCCCCCATTTAAAGAAGGTGGTCCACATCAGGCAAGCGTAGGCGGGGCAGTCACACATTAGCTAGTACCAAATTGTCAAGATACCTAAGTTGGGCTAGTAACTTAGGACGTGGGGGTGTAGGCATATCGAGAGTAACGAGGGGGAAGATTGGCCAAAGAGGATTGCAGTATAGAGTGGGAGGTAGAAATAGAGCAAGTTCAGCAAGAGAAGGTGCACCACCAAGTATGTAACTACACTACACCTGTGCAGCAAGCAGGGTATATAAAACATAACTTTAACACAAATGTCCCTCAAGCGAGTCAGGTGTGATCCACGTATCATCTCTGCTAGTTTGGTTAAGCCACTGAAGGAGCATGACAACATGGAGTCCGCTCATCGTCAGTCGCACGCGCGTTGTTATATGCAAACGGGCCGAGGGTGCGTTGAGGGTGCAAACTCAAGCATGTGGAGAGAATCTTCCCACTTGGTCAGGTCGGTGCAGTTGGTGCGAATCATCTGCTCAATCGTCTGGTTGGTCCGATCCGTCTGACAGTCAGTCGTCAGAATAAGAAGGCATGAATGATTGTATTGAGAAGAAAGGGCAGTACAAGTAGTCCTAACCCTAGAGTGTTGTACCCCTTGTAGGCTAACCCACTATAGCCTAGAGATAACAAAAACATGCAGTTTGACACACCCCCATAGGCTATTTGGGAGATAGCAAACACAACAGACGGTCACAAGACCAGTCAAGCAGGAGAACAAATCAAAGCAAAGCTCAGGGTGGATGTCAAGGACACCACACAATCTGAGCACAAGCAAGCGGCCACAAGGCCAGTTCACATGCAGAGTTATAATAGCAAGGCAGTACACTGATCACAACCTAGCAAGAGTAAACATGCAGGTATAAATATATATATCAGTGTACAACAAGAGCAAGTCAAGCAACCAGCAGGTGAGGCAGAGTGGGAACAAGCCCAAGAGCAGTGCAGAAACGCTGATGATCACCAGACCCAAGGGCCTTGTTGAAGACATCAGCAGTTTTGGCCCGAGAGGCCACGTAAGCAAGGCGCAGCTGACCACGCTGCTGCAGCTCACGCGCAAGGAAGTAGCGAAGAGCAATGTGCTTCGTTCTGTGCTCCAGTCTCTGCTCGCGACACAAGGCAAGCATTGCCTTGTTGTCGACGTACAGAACTGGAGGAGAACGAGGCCGCTCCCCCAAGTCGGTCAGCAGGTAGGTCAGCCAGCGTAGCTCCTGTGCAGCCATGGCCCCAGCGTAGATCTCGGCCTCGCAGCTGGAGCCAAGCACAGAAGAAGAACGAGTGGACCTCCACGAGACAGAACCAGAGCCAAGAATGAAGGTGTAACCCTGTAACGAACGCTGAGTCGCCTGGTCGTCGGCCGAAGAAGCGTCAGAGTGTCCTGTGAGTACCACTGAACCCCGTCCTCCAAGCACGAGCCCCATGCCCGATGTACTGCACAAGTAACGCAGTACCCTCTTCGCAGCATCCCAGTGCACCTTTCGGTGTCTACCAGGAGCCACGTAGCGAGCCAGAAGGCTGAGAGGGTACGCGAGGTCAGGTCGTGTGGACGTCATCAGGTACATGAGGCAACCCACAAGCTCGGGTACAGACCACTCGGCTCTACGGACTCGTCCGAAGGTGGAGCTGAGAGCGAGTGGCCGGTAGACAGAGGAGTGGGCTGTGGCGAGGAGAACTGGAAGCTGAAGCGCGGAAGGACCTGGTACACCATGTGTGACTGAGTCAGGGTGATGGTGCGCCGTGCTCTGTCCCGGGTGATCTGCAAGCCAAGATAGCTCCGCAGCTCACCCAGGTCAGTGCAGGTGTGTCTCTCCTGCAGCTCCGCCTTCACTAGGGCCAGTGCCTCAGTGTCAGCAGTAGCAAAAACCAAGTCGTCGACGTACACGAGGATGTAGAACGGCGGCAGAGTAGTGTCGGTGCGTAGAAACAGCGACGGGTCAGCAGTCGAAGGAGCAAACCCAAGAGCCGCAAGTGTCGTCCTCAGTATGTCGTGCCACTTGCGGGGCGCCTGGCGCAGGCCATACACTGGTCGCCGTAGGCTCCACTGGGTACCCTCAGGAAACGACCCAGTGAAGCCCTCTGGACGGCGCAGCCAGATGGCCTCGTGAAGGCTACCCTGCAAGAAAGCTATCGAGAAGTCGAGGGAGTGCAGCTCGTAGTCACGCTGAGCTGCAACGTGTAGCAACACCCGAAGAGTGGTCATCTTCGGGGTGGGGGAGAAGGTCTGAAAGAAGTCGACCCCAGCACGCTGACTGAAGCCTCGAGCAACGTAACGCGCCTTGAAGGCAGGCGGAGAACCCGACGGCCGCTTCACCCTGAAAATCCACATCCCACTGACGATGTTCGCCCCAGGTGGGGGAACCTCGTCGGCGTAGTGCCTGTGGACTTCCAGGAAGCCATCTCTGCGTCCAGCAGCACCAGCACCTCCAGAGACAGCAGCTCCAGAAGCACCTCCAGCACGAGAAGCACCACCAGGTCCGGCAGCTCCAGTACCTCTAGTACGAGCACCTCCAGGACCAGCAGCTCCCGCAGCTCCAGCACCAGTAGCACCAGCACCTCCAGTGCCAGCAGCTCCAGTACCCCCAGCACCTCTAGGACCAGTAGTACCTCCAGCACCAGCAGCTCCAGTACCTCCAGCTCCAGTACCTCCAGCACCGGCAGCACCTCCAGTACTAGCAGCTCCAGGACCTCCAGCTCCAGTACCTCCAGCACCAGCAGCACCTCCAGCACCTCCAGGCCTAGCAGCTCCAGTACCTCCAGCAGTACCTCCAGGCCGAGCAGCTCCAGTACCTCCAGCACCAGCAGCACCTATAGTACCTCCAGTAGTACCACCAGCACCTGCAGCACCAGCAGCACCTCCAGGACTAGTAGCTCCAGCACCAGCAGGACCGTACACTCCACCACCGGGACTGCCTCGCCGAACGACCCACGCACGAATCGCCTGCGGCGAGAGCGTCTCAGGCTGCGGTGGCTGTCAAGCTCCAGTACCTCCAGTAGTGGTAGCTCTAGCACCTCCAGCACCAGAAGCACCTCTAGTACCTCTAGCTCCAGTACCTCCAGCACCAGTAGCACCTCTAGTACCTACAGCAGTACCTCCAGGCCTAGCAGCTCCAGTACCTCCAGCTCCAGGACCTCCAACAGGGTCACCCACAACTCCACTGCCACTAGGACTCGCAGCACCCCCAGAGTCAGCACCCCCAGTCGCAGCACCCCCAGAACAAGCACCTCCAGAGCCCTCACCCCCTGGCTCAGCACCCCCAGTCTCAGCACCTGTAGTCTCAGCTCCAGTGTCCACAGCAGCAGGCTGCGGAGGCGGCGAAGACTGTCGAGGCGGAAAACCCGGGGGGGTCTCCAAGCGTAGAGAGCGGCGAGTGGCCGCCGTGTCGTCCGCAACTGGGTCACCCCCCTCAGCTGAGCCAGAGGAGTCTGAAGAGTGTGAAAGATAGAACGAGGAATGATTGAATTAGCAAGCAGGTGGGTACAAGTAGGAAAACCTAAAAGTGTTGTACCCCATATTGACTACCCCACTACAGCCTACACAGACTATGTCATATAAGTTTGACACACCCCCATAGGCAAAATGGGAGAGAACAAGAGGTCACAAGACTAGTCAAAAAAAGCAAAGCAAGCTCAGGGTGGATCACGACGTCACCACGCATTCTGAGCACAAGCAAATGGCCACAAGGCCAGTTCACATGCAGAGTTATATAAAGGAGAACAAGCACTACAGTGATCACAACCTAGCAAGTGTAAGCATGCAGGTATATGCATAGAGATCACAGTACAAGCAAAGTCAAGAAGTGA